GGCGATCCAAAAAGCCCAGCGCTTAAGCGATCCAAAAAGGCTTGAGTGCATTCAATTTGCGTGGCAATCCCTGGGCGGCCACCTAGGCGGTACGGAATCCGCCTAGACGAGCGCTCAGTGCCCCTCCTAAAGGCGGAGTTTTTTTTTTTTTGTTTTATTGCTTTTTTTTAAAACATAAATGCTTTTAAAGATGAGTTTTAGGTTCATTTGAAACCTAAACCCACAAGAACCCATTTTAGAGATAAAGAAACTTCAAAGAAACTAAATTTTGTGATTCTTATTGGATCGAAGTGTTTCTCAAAGTTATGAAAAACGGATCCAAACATCACCCAGATAGATTAGATTTAGTTTTGTAGTTTTATAATCCTATTACAGGGTGTTTTTTATTATTTTAGCACCTAAAAACATCTCAGAGGTGGGAATTTGGAGTTCGAGCAATCAAAATAAGTGCAAAACTTTATTTTTTAGATTGCTTGCTTTATTTTGAGATGTCTTCTTCATGATCTAGTCGCAGTGGAGATCCGGGTTGAAAATATGGATATAACTCGAATCCAAATGACAAAAATTGTATTAGATGCAATTATTGTGAAAAAGATACAAAAAAGGGTATAAACCGGTTTAAGAAACATCTTGCCCGTATTAAGGGGGATGTTGCCCCTTGTAAAAATGTTCCTGAAGCTATTAAAGAGGAGATTAAGTAATATATGAGTTCTATAAAATAAAACCAGGAACAAAATCTTTGTCATTTGAATAGATCTATTTCTACTTCTCTAGAAGAAGTGATCCGGGTTGGAAGTAGCGGTATAACCCAAAACCAAACGATAAAAGTTTTACAAGGTGTAATTTATGTGAAAAAGATACCAATGGGGGTATTAACCGATTCAAGAAACATCTTGCTGGTATTAAAGGGGATATTGCTTCTTGTAAAAATGTTCCTGAAGCTAATTGGGATGAGATTAGACAATTTCTGAATTTAAAATAACCAGAAAATGATGAAAATGAGCCTTGTTCTATGGACATATCTTCTCCAGGTTCTTCTAGAAGTGGTGATCCAGGTTGGAAGTATGGTTATAACACGAATCCGAATGACAAAAATCATATTAAATGTAATTATTGTGGAAAGGACACTAATGGGGGCATTTACCGGTTTAAAAAACATCTTCCCAATATTAAGGGGGATGTTGCGCCATGTAAAAATGTTCCTGAGGCTACCAAGGAGGAGATTATACAATATTTGAATTCAGGGAAGCACAAAAACATAGAAAATGGTAGAATAGCCAAAACTCCTAGAGCATCATCTGCACATACTAGTAAGAGGGAGGTAGAAGAAGAGGAGGAGGAAGATGCAGATTCAGAAGAAACCGAAGAGGACGAGCGTTATATTGAAGAGGGAGATGACTCTGATGATGGTGGCCTCGAATCTGATGCATATGATGAGGCTTACCCTATTCCTTCTGATGATGATGATGACTGAAAACTCTTGATGTTGAGTGTTGACTATTGTGTCCTAGATTGTAGTCTGTATATTTTCTGAATTTTTGTATATTTTCTTTTTCTTATTTTTAGTTTCTACTTTCTAGTTTCTAGTTCTACTATCTAACTTTTGTGTGTACAGTCTACAGTGTATCAAACTATCAGTGTACGCTTGTATGATTTTACTGTTTTAAGCTTTTAGCATTGTATGAAAATATGGATTATAGTCTTATGGATTATCAAAATTCTCTTCTCGACTTCTATCTTCTTTTTTTTCAACTAGGATTATGGCCTTATGGATTATCAAAATTCTTATAGATTATAGTCTTATGAATTATCAAATTCTTATAGATGATAGTCTTATGAATTATCAAATTCTTATGGATTATCAGAATTAGACTATCTTTTTTTTCTTTTCTTTTTTTTTTTAACTAGGTCGCCCAGGTTCTGGGCGCCTGCCTAAGCGGCCGCCTAGGCGCTGGGCGGCCTGGACCCCAATAGCCGCCTAGGTGCCGCCTCGAGCTTTTTGAAACTCTAGCATCGATGGCTGAGAAATGGATGCATTAGATTGAAGAGTAGGGTTTTGAAACGATGGAGGTGGTGGGTTCACTGGTCTTTGAGCCATGAAGCTTGATAGACCTTGAAGTGGAGGACCCAAAGGAACAAAAGGCATCTGAGATTGAGGGGGAAGGGGACTTGAAGGTTGAAATCACGGATCAGTCATGGTGGGTAGGCCAAGAGGGGCAAAAGCTTGGGCCATGGCTAGTCGACCCGTGAATTTCCATGGAACGAAGGCTTTGAACCCGTAGAAGATGATGTTATAACAAGCGAGGGGGGGGGGGGAGGGGGCAACATGAGGAGGTCGATTGAAGACTGAAACTGAAGAAATTAATTGTGGGTTTTGTCCAAAGACCCCAGGTTGAGGATTTCCATGAAAAGAAGGCTCCGAAACAATTGCAGAGGAAGTGGGAAATTGGAGGTGGAGCAATGATTGGAGGTTGACTGAGCACTGAATTTGGAGAAACAAATTGTGGGTTTTGTGGAGGGATGCCATTAAAGCTTGGAGGAGGAGGAGCTCGATTGAGCAGAGGCTCTAATGAAGCACGATTCGCAAAAGAAATTGGAGGAGAAGAGAAGGGAAAGGCACACCTTCCATGGAAATCTGATGTGAATCTAGCTTTCTCGTACCCGATTGGAATGCGGAATTTGGCTCTCAAATCTTAAAAAAGGGAGAAGGGTGTCTGCAACTGACTTTGGATATTTAACAGAGAGAGAGAGAGAAAGAGGGAGTTCAGAGAGAGACGGAGATGTTAATTTGGTAAATGAGAGTCATTTCACAAATTGCTTAGGTCAATAGTACATGGTCAAAGGGGTCCAGGGGGTTAGAGGATAGAAATATAGAGATTTTATGCCGCAAGAAATAGTTTAAATCCTTGGGTCTCCTGAGAAATGCGTACTAAAAATGGGGGTTACGGAGAAATTTTCCCTTTTATTTTATCTTCAAGTTCTCTGCATCAAACCCATTATCACTTAGCATCCCTATTTTATCACTTAACATCCTGCCCTATATTGTCCCAATAACAATCAAACATTTATGTTTGTTTTGGACCCTCCTGAATTTTGAGTGTGAGATATGTCGAGTGTTAAATCCGCTTGTTATTGGGACAAAATAAAGCTGGGTATGTAGTGATGAAACAGGTATGTTAATGCTAAGTTGTGGTTCACATAAATGTTAAAATCTCTAGATAAAACTCATGTTTCTCAAACATCTGTCTCAATCACAACCAAGACTTAGCATCCTTCTTTCATCATTAAACACCCAGCCTTATATTGTCACAACAACCATCAAACTTAACACTCAAACATATGTTCTCCCAACAACAATCAAATTAATTCTTATCTCAAGTGTCAATCAAACTAGATACTCGAGCTACCCTTCTTAATTACTAACACCTTCAAATAATATGTCCCCTCCATCCCACTAAGACATTTCAAGCATAAAATTCTTGCTGAGCAACTTGGCAACCTCTGACTCCTCTACCTTATTTTCTACTATATACACTCTATATCTCCTCCAAATCCCTATATTTTGTTGGGGGGGGGGGGAATACAAAATCATGACCTTCACTTCAGATAAAATCCAGAACCTCACACAACTACAAAGCTTCCATCCCCGACCATGACAATGAGAGACTCATTCCCCACAACAAAATTCTTGGAAAACCTAAATGTAGAAGCCATCACACAAGCATCATTATTTCAAAACAATGATAACCACTACATTTTAAAAAAAAAAAACATGCTAACCACTAGAAACATTTTATCAGGTCTGCAGTAGTAGAGACGTGTGAAATACTTCAGAATGGCAGGAATTTCTCAGTAATTATTTTTTGCCTAATTGAAACTGCCATGAACCATTTAGCTGACGACAATAAATCTAGAGACCAAAGGATCATTGAATCATATCTTACACCTAGTGTTTTAAAACTGGCCAAGCCGACTTGGGACTCACCCGAGTCGGCTAGGCTCAGCTCAAGAAACTTGTGAGCGGTCAGCTAGAAACTAGGGACTCGCCCAAGTCCCACCTTAGTTTGGCTTTTATTTGTTGTTTTCTTACAGAATTGGTGGAGTCGAATCCCCGGACTTGGGTTTGGGACCTGGCGAGTCCCGATCCAAGTTAGGGTTTAAAACATTATTTATACCATTATCTCTCCCTTATAGCAATCATGCCCAAGCAAATTACAGTCTTCCTGAATACAGAAAGAAATCGAATATAGTCTAAACTCTCAGATTCATAATATAGAAGAAATCCATTGAAATTTTCAGATTAGTTTCCATTAAATCTTACACTCTATAAGAAGCATCACAGTTGCACTGCTCTCCATGAAGCATCACCGACAGGGCCTACAAGTTTTCAAGCAAGTTCCGAATACAAACATTTTGAACTTTCATATTTCATAAATTCAAACAGGACAATGATATTTATGGAGGGGCAGCAAAGCAATGTGGAGGACGTTGAAGAAATAGGTGACCAGAAGCGCACTGAGATCACCAGGATATTACCTACCTTAAATCTTAAGTACCTCAGTCAAAAGCATAAAATATTCAAATTGCCCATTAAGAGATTATTCATTTCATTAAATTTTTCATATAAACAATCTGAAAATGAAGTAAACCAGATGGAAACTGCCTCTATGAATACTAGCAAGAGGAGGGGGGAAGAAGAGAAGGAGGGGGGTGAGGGTGAGGGTGAGAATTGCTGTTTTTCCATATAACTAACTCCAAGCAGGCGTAAAAAGGTGACTGAAACTGTAGGGAAAGAAGTAGAGGATCTTGAGAGAGTGTGTGTTTGAAACCGTAGGGAAAGAAGTACAGAATCTTGAGAGAGAGAGAGAGAGAAAGGACGAGGGGAAAGGGCGAGCACTTTTCTCCATTTTGAAATCAAAAAAGCAGGAAAAGCAAGAGATAGAGATGCCTTAATATTAAGACTCCACATTGAAATCAGGAAGCGAAGAACAGAGAGAGACCTTCCTCTTGAGAATCTGAGCAGCAAAGAACTCAACCTCAAAATTGAGCAAGGGTGAGGAGGAGGAGCCCCTGGTTAGAATCAAAGTGGCTACTTCCCATGCTGCGTCAGTTTGTTGGAACTCAACCAGCCATTGGTTAGCGGCAACTCTGTTACACGACTGAACGTCGTGATTCAACACATGTACGGCCTCTGCAACTTGCCTTTGAAGCTCCATCCCTCCTCTCCCTCCACCATTAAATCAAACAAATTTCCCTTACTCTCTCTTCTTTGAAGCCTCCATTTCTTCCAGGATAAACGAGAAAGCCTCTTCGTCTCCCCTTGGTGCAAATAGAGACAAAAATGACCAGAGTTTCCTTCAAATTATCAAAACCGCCCCAGCTCTACGATAAACTCCATTGCATTTGTAGATCGAGCACTTCTTCTGAGTTCAGATTAACGATGAAGTGGAGACAATCAAAGCTCTTCGATCCGATATCCCATGTTTTTACAGCGATCCTTCCAGAAACGGCGAATAATTCCTGGTTTCCCTATTATTGAGCATGAAAATTAGGTAAAAGACGCAAATACAGCAGAGTTCGCTGGAAATTCCCAACATTCGCCGTAAAGTTCAGAATATTTAAATGATTTGGCCTGAAACGGGTAGAAGAAACGCCGGTTATTAGCTTCTTCTCACGATCCCAACGCTACAAAACAGGGCTGAACGTTTTCTAAATCGTCTTGTCCAGGATCCAGAAACAAAGTGCACAGTCGCAGTAACACCTTATTATCCAGAAGTGAAGAAACAGAGCAAGAAAAAAGCTCTCGTCCTTACCTCCGATGAACTGTAAAGGTCCTCGCCCAAAAACTCCAGCAAGGAACGGCCGATTTCCGCCTTTTCTTCACCGGAGTTTCACCACTGCGACTTCTCATCCAAAATAAAACACTTAATTCCTTCATTTTCCGGACATCGATAATCAAAATCCGGCTGTCTCTGTACGGAAAACGCCATTGTAGCGGACAATAATTCTTGAGAATAAAATATCCGGCAATAAATACTCGATTTCCTCCTCTTTTCGGCCGCGAGTCTTCACCGCTGCAACTTTCCGGTCACCGAAAAGCCTAAAATCCTGCTATCGATAATTAAAATCCGGTGATCACTGACAAGAACCCCATTTTATAGGAGAAAAATGCTTTTGAGAGAGAGAGAGCTTCGAACCAAGGCAAATAAACGACTCTGACTACATATATTCACCCTAAAAAAAAATAGCAGACGAGGACTTTTTTTAATTTTAAATAGTAATTTATCTTTTAAAGTGATGGCCAAACTCGATATATGAGGGTGACGTTTGTAGAGGGTGTCAACCTTGTGCTATTAAAGTAAGTGCGCCTCAAAACCACGTCGAAAGTGCATTTTCGGAGCAACAAAGCATTGCGATGATACGAAAATCTACTGTTGCCACCGATTATAAAATTTAAAGTTTAAAAAATGGTAACCATAAAACGGAACAATGAACATTTAAAAAACTTAAAAATTACCCGTCCAAATAATGTAGTAGAAGATGAACTATTTTTAAGGCTAGAAATACTCTTTTTTTCATGTTTATGAATCTCGACGTCTAGGTGACCGAATTGAGGGTTTTTTAGCATAAAAACAACACTCACTAATGAATTTCTTAAGTACTCTCTATAAAGTTGAGACTTTATATAAACTTTTTCCAATATTATAATAGATTAGAGGGTGCGTTAGGATGCTCACACTCACATTATGGATTAATTTACTCAACATAATTTAAATATATATATATATACCATTGTTTTGTATATGGAGTTTTTTTTAGTAAGAGTATTTTTGGTAATTAAAAGGGGTGTGACATCATCCAAATACACACTATGTGTATGATATCGTTCCCTTCCTAATGATCAAAAAGACCCTTATTAAAAAATGCTCTATGTATAAAATAAAATATCTAAAATTATTAAGTACAATGATACAGTACTCAGCACTCTTACATAACCCACATAACCCTAGATTATAATGGGCATTCCGATAACCCAATAGGATTCGAGGCCTTTGGCCGCTAGTGTATGAGAGCGCTCAAATATGACCTCCCACCAATGTACGGAGCATAGTTAGCAAGTCACTGATTTAATCGTGACTTTTTCAAAAAAACGGCGTTTTTTTGTAAATCGATTTAATATGTGACTTTTTCAATAGATCAGTAAAATACGCGATCTTTTCAGGAAGAAGTTTAAAACGTGACTTTTTCACAATTTTAAAAAATCGTTTCAAAAAATCTTTCATATTAATATACTCTTCTTCTTCTTTTTGAAAGTTCAATATCTTTTTCCTGTTTTGTGAAATTTCTATTTCTATTTTTATTTCTATTCTCCCGAAACTTTTTCTGGTTCCCTGCTATGGATATTGTGCGTATTTTTTCGGGTGGTTATGGGTAGACAATAATTAGAAAGTATGGGGTAGACAATTTATTTTTAGAAAGATGAAAATTGAATTCATCGACCCAATATTTATCTTGACGAATATAATAGATAATCATCTTATTATTTAGAGATATATCACATTGAATATTTGAAATTTATATTCATATGGAGGTCATATTTATAATGAGTGATATATATAGAGTGAAAGCATTACTCCTCACTACTATTAAATTTTTCTATACTGAGTGAGATATATATATATATATATATATATATAGTTTTAAATTTTCTAATATTTTAAATATATCTGATTTTTTTACTCTGATTTTTTAAGCCTAGTCCGATATATTCGTGATCTCTTTACATGAAGTATTTTTGCCGATCTATATTTTTTACCCGATTTTTTATCTGACTTTAAAAAAATAAAAAATAATTTGTTTCCGATTTCATGGTGAGCCAATTTATTGATAATCCCCGACTTGCTAACTATGGTACGGAGAGCTTCAATATTCATCGTAACTCTACAAGGTTTATATTGGGATTTTGTTAGTATTCTCCTTAATGCACTCAATTTTTTTTTTTGAACACTTGTGTATTTGGTAATGTAAAATGGTTCAATTTTTTTTGAACATTTATATACGTTGTAATGTAAAATATTTAGTAAAGCACTTTTTACTATTAGGAGGGGTAGGATAAATATTTTTATAAAAAAAACTCTTCTTTCTATCAAAAATTTCAATTTTACGCCTATTTATTTATCTAAAATATCCTTAGTAAAAAATATTGCTACATAGTGGAGTTAAAGTATTAAGTGTAACAATCCTAAACTTTCAAAAACAAAAAAAAAAAAAAACGGGACAATAAACTTTTAATAAGTGATGATCCATATGAGCATGATGGTCCTTAGGGACTATCACTATTTTCAAAATCTTTTGATTAAGTTTATTTTGTTTGCTCCTGCCTTGCCACGTCAAGTGGACATATAAGGGGTATTGTAACGGTTACACCTCGTTTATGAGGTGTCACTTAATAAAATATTATAATAAGGTGTCGTAAGAGTTTAAATACGAGAGGCGAGGACTCCCACCCTAGAAAGCTTTTGAAATCTTTTCCTTTCTGATCGAAACACAGTGAGCTCCTCTCCCTAGCCGAATTTTTATCGGAAGCTCCCTCTCAAATATTTTAGGTAAGTGACATCATCTTCCTGAAAAATAGTCTGTTTTTAATAAATAGTGATATTTCTGTCCAGGATCTTTGTTTTATAAGTTTTGTTTGTAAGTGACCTCATTGTCTCGAAAAATAATCCATTCTTTTTAAAAATGAAATGAAATAATTATTTCTGCTTATTATCATGAATTTTAGGCGCGATATATTTAATGCGCACGTGACCTCATTATCTTGAAAAATAATCTTTTTAATAAAAATTGTGATATTTTATCTATGTTAGAAATTTTGAATGCTGTAAATTATGAAAAATAAATC